CTGAGAAGACCAACTCCTAGACACACAGTACTTTGCTTACACAAAGTAAGTATAAAAGGAAAAATCCTAAAAGCAGTGAGAGAGAAAGGTCAGATTACCTACAGGGAAGACCAATTAGAATAGCAGCAGACTTATCTACAGAAACACTAAAGGCAGAAGAGACTGGAGTCCAGTCTTCAAAGTTCTCAAAGATAAACTATTCCAACCAAGAATTTCCTATCCAACTAAGCTAAGCTTTATCAGCAACAGAGAATTAAAATTCTTCCCAGACATTCAGTCCCTAAGAGTTTATGCCACCTACAGACCAGCTCCACAAGAAACACTTAAAGTATTAAGCACAGAAGAGAGAGAGAGAAAAAAAAGGCTGACCACACTCTTCCCAAGAATGCAGGAAAAAGATTGAAAACACACACAAATATCGACCCAAAAGTCAAACAAAAAACAACCAACTTACCTACCAACCAACCAACAAACAAATAAGAAACTCTGTAAGAATCTCATGACAGGAATAAACTCTCACATCTCAATAATTACCCTGAATGTGAACGGACTAAATGCATCACTGAAAAAACTAGAATGACAAACTGGATAAAAAAAACATGATACAACAATATGCCGTCTCCAGGAGACTCATCCCAACGAGACTGGAAACTCACAGACTCAAAGTAAGATGATGGGAAACAAATTTTCAGGCAAATGGAGCATAAAAGAAAGCAGAAGATGTGATCTTAATATCAGACAAAATATCCATTAAGCTATCAAAAATTTAAAAAGATATGGAAGGTCACTACATAATGAAAAAAAGGTTCAATCCATTAACAAGAAATACCAATCCTATTGAAAGTATTCCAAGCAATCGAGAAAGATGGAACCTTCCCCAGATCATTTTATGACATTAACACCACACTGATACCCAAACTGGGTAAAGATCCAACAAACAAAGAGAACGACAGGTCAATATCCCCAGTGAACATAGATGTAAAAATTCACAACAAGATTCTAAGCAAATCGGATCCAACTGCACATCTCAAAAACATCCCTCATGACGAAGCAGGCTTCATCTCCGGGATGCAGGACTGGCTTAACATCTGCAAGACCATTAATGTAATTAAATACATCAAAAGATATAAAAATAGGAAGCACATGATTATATCATTAGATATAAAAAAAGCTTTCTATGAAATCCAGCATCTCTTCTTGATAAAAACCCTTGAACACCTAGGCATAGAAGGAACATGCCTCAAAATAGAAGAGCCATCTGTGATAAACCCACAGCCAACATATTGCTAAATGGACAGAAATTGAAAGCATTTCTCCTGAAAACTGGAACAAGTCAAGGCTGCCCATTTTCACCCCTTCTGTTAAACATAGTGTTGGAAGGACACAACTTTGCAGCAACCTGGATGGATTTAAAGTCTATAATACTGAGTGATCTATCACAGAAGCAAAGAACTGAGTACCCCATGTTCTCACTCATAAGCAGACCCTGGACAATTATCATAATACTATAAAAAAGGGATTGACAATAGTGGGACACTGTCAGGAGAGAGAGGGGGTAGCACATTTCATCAATAAGGATATCTGATCTCAAACCAGGTGAAGTGGGAACCAAAGAGAGGCCCAAACTTTACCTGTACAATGACCATTTGTATATCTAATCCTGAATTGTACTCTACATCTTTAAAATAAAATTTAAAAAATTGTCAAAACCAGAGAGATGTTTGCTAAATTTCTGAGTCCAGAAATAAACAGATGCTTTAGTTATCATTTTGCGTCACAACTTTAAATGCATACTTTAAGTAACTTTGAAAATATCTAAACTTTCTACTACAATTGACTTAGCACCATTAGAAAACATATTAAATTACACATGTTGCTATTAATAGTTTCACAATGGTCAGATCACTTTAGCACCACTCCAAATGCTACTTCTTTCTTTGTGGTGCAGTTTCTTGAGATATTTTTACTGACAGTTGTGAAAATGCGGTTTATCAAACTAGGAATATCTTTTAAAGAAGTGAAAAGACAAACACTACAACTATTAAAGAGGTTGGGAGAAGACTTAACTACAGCCATTCGGGCTCTATTGTGTCATGACCTTTGGATTTTTCTTTCCATCACAAGCATCTGATAGATGAAATATTCAGATTCTAAAGAGGACTGGGCTCTCACTGAATTAATTAAATTTAATGAGCAAAAAGCAAAGCATATAAATTAACTAGGTAGAGTGATAATAATCAGAAGTAAATTAAATTAAAATGAAGTGCTAAAAAGAAAAGGAAAATGAAATATTGTACTCCAGAATCGTATCAAATGGCCTGTTCTATTAACTACATAAATAATTGTTCTGGTTTTTGTGTGGTTCCAGGTGAATTTTTGCTGCTAGAGGGTTCTGCATTTGGGCCTTTAAGCACACTTGGCATTCTCTGCTGTGTGTATAGACTTGAGTGGACTGAACAAACAGCCTTGTCTTCTCTTACTTTTGTGTGCTGTCCTAAGTGGCTAGTGACAGTGCTTTAGAGACGAGGTCTGTGAGGCAGAGTGTGTGAACCTGTAGTTCCATACTCCGTGAATGGCCTGCTCTCCCCAACACAATTTTTCTGTCCTGCCAACTGGCCCAGACTCCACCGTGGGCAGATGGACATGGCTCAGAAGGGCAACGAATGGGGGAGGAGAGGGTTTTGACAGCTGATTAAGGCGTTTCGAAGCCCGGAGGCTTTTACCCTCCCACTGCCTCTGCCCCCTGCCCCCTCACCAAGGCTAATTGGGTTGGCTTATATTTTCCTCTCCATTGAAAGCCTTTATATTGCTCTTTTGTGACATATTTTTTCCTTCAAGCTACTTGTGACATACCTTTCAGTGATTTTTATCTCATTGGAAGAATTGGGGACGAAGAAGGTTGATCCAGAAGGATTTATCTGGGGCTCTCTATTTTGCTAAGGATGGGTTTATTTTACAGGTCACTACATTGGCGTTAAAGAAAAAATCTTCAACAGCAAAAAAGAATGGCTGCAACAACAACAAAAAATGGATTTATTAAGTTTAAGAGAGGAATTCGTTATCCCTTTAAGAAACCGCTTAGTATGGTGCTAGCTTTACAGCATAAGCTGGAAGCTCCAGAAATGGGTTCTGGAGCCCGGGTTTGAGTCCTGGTCCTACCACTTATTACCTGTGTGAGCTCAGGCAAGTAACCCAGTTTCCCTCAGCCCCACTCTCCTTCAGCTGACTCTTGGGGTTGTGAGAATAAAATGAAGTTAATCAGGGTAAAAACACTTAGGAGAATGTCTGGTTTGCTGAGGCCTCACTAAATGCTAAACATCTTTTGTCACTATAACAGCATATTTATTTATAATTTACGGACTACTTCAAAAATTGATTAAGGCATCTTCCCAAAGCAATGCCTTTTTTTTTTTTTTTGAGTTGGAGTCTCACTCGGTCGCCCAGACTGGAGTGCAGTGGCCGCTCCTGGCCACCGCAGCCTCACCTGCTGGGCTCCGGTGATCCTTCCGCCTCAGCCTTCCAAGTAGCTGGAACTACAGGCGCGCGCTACCACCCGGCTGATTTTTTGATTTATTGTAGAGATGAGGTCTCACCTGCCCAGGCGGGTCTCGAACCCACAGGTTCAGGCAATCCACTCACCTCAGCCTCCCAAAGACGCAGGATTACAGGCTGAGCCACCGAGCCCGGCTAAAGCAATGCCTTTTAAACAACAACAACAATGACAAAAAAGAAGAGAGAAAGAGAAAGAAAATTGAAAATAAAAAAGAGTAAAATTAATTTAAAAGGATGAGAGAGGTATATGTACCTAGTACAGGAATAAATTTAACTGCATGATGTGAGCCCTAAGTAGATAGCACTAAAACTTGCTGGATTATAGGACTGTCTCTTTCTGACAAAAAGGCAGATTTTTCTTAAGAAGCAAAATTTTAAAGCATTGAACACTAGCTAAAAGGCATTCATTATGTGGATGCTTCTGTTGGGCGTGGCAATGAGCAAATCAATTTCTTCAGTTTAAAAAAAATCCAGAAAGTGACAAATGTATAGAGATGGAGAACAGATTAGTGGTTTCCAGAGTCCAGGGGTGGTGGAAGGGAGCAGTGTGACTATAAAGGAATGGCAGGAGGGAGATCTTTGTGGTGACGGAACCGTTTTTTTGTGTCCTGACTGCACACATGGCAAAATGGCATAGATGGACACCCACATCGTACCGACGTCAATTCTGGTTTGGGTATCAATATTATAGCTTTGCAAGATGTAACCATCGAGGGAAACTGGGTAAAGCGTAGACAGGGCCTCTCCTTCCTGTTTGTGTAACCTCCTGTGAACATAGATTTCCAAACAGAAAGTTAAATAAATTTTCTTCAAGTGGATATTACTTACATTGCCATATAAGTTTTGTTGTGTGGTTGGCTTGAACTGTTATTTTTCTTTGAAATAGTTAATTTTCTTTAAATGAGTCCTTTTGCTTAAAGTGTTATAAGTACTTTTACTTTCCTCCAGTCCCCCACCTGCCCTACATTTCAGAGACATTGCCATATCCCTTAATCACATAAACTCATCTTAAAGTTTATTTCAAATTTTCATTTTCTTTCCAGGCTCGCGTTTTCCTGCCAGTATCAGCCACTGGCCCATGCTCAACCATTTGCTCTTGATTTCTATCTGTGTAGAAATAGTCATTTCAATTCTGGACCCCCTTGACTTATATCAGTATTTCTGAGTTTCCTTCTGTCCTGAGACTTTATTTGTGTACAGTCCCTACCTCTTTTTCTGTCAGCTGTTCTCTGGTCAAGTCTCCAGGACTCTCAAAGAGGCAAGCATTGATTTGATCTGAATTTATGTGATTTGCTGAAAGGTAGGACACACAGCCAGAAGGAGACTTCATTACGTGACAAGATAGGAGCCACTCCAGGGTTTTGTAACAGAGGTATTCGGATCCTGCTTCAAACACCAGTATCCACTTGAGGCATTGCTCTCTGACTTGGGGGAATGCAAGCACGTACCTTTCACCTGCACAAAGTCGAGCTGGTGGATGGATTGCAGTAGAGGGCTGTTGTCCAGACTCAAGTCAAAGTCCGTGGTCATTCTGGGAGTCAGCGTGCCTTTTCCCCACTGATCCTCAGTCAGGTGCACTCTCCTTATGAGGGCGTCAGATATCTAATCACATTAAAGACCACAGCTTAAGAAATACAACACCACACTCGAAACACAATGCTGCTCCTGGATTCTCTGAGGGCACTACCTTGGGTATTACACCCTGCCTGTTTCAGTGCAGTTGGTGAGGAGAACCCCATTATGACTAGGTTGATCCATGATTTATTAGCAAATCCGAACATTTTTGTGAGTCTGGGGGGACACTATAAATAATGAGCAGGTATTGATTGATATAACAGAAAAACTTGTGTATATGATCATGCCATTTGTGACTGAGTCACTAAAGCCAACAACTTTAAAAGAATGATATGTTGGTGATTAGTTAATTCATTTTTTTTTTTTTTTTTTTTGAGTTGGAGTCTCACTCTGTTGCCCTGGCTGGAGTGCAGCGGTACACTCACGGCCACCCCAACATTGACCTGCTGGCTCCGGTGATCCCTCCACCTCAGTTTTCCAAGTAGCCAGAACTACAGGTGTGCACTACCATGCCTGGTTAGTTTTTGATTTATTGTAGAGACAAGGTCTCACTAAGTTGCCCGGGTTGGTCTCAAACCCACAGCCTCAGGCAATCCACTCGCCTCGGTCTCCCAAAGTGCTGGGATTACAGGTTAAGCCACTGAGCCCGACCAGTGATTAATTAATTATTTTAAAAATTATTTTTATTTTTTATGAGATAGAGTCTTGCTATGCTGCCTAGGCTAGACTTGAACTCCTGGGCTTAAAGGATCCTTCTGCCTCAACTTTCTGAGTAGCTGGGATAACAGAAGCATGCCACCACACCCAGCTTGATTAGTTGATTCATGTTAGAATCGATAGCTCTAAGCTTTGAATTTGAGGTGTGGGTATCTTATCAAGACTTGGAAATGAGATGAGTTTTATAAAGTAGTTTAGAGAACCTGCATATGGGAATTCTTACATTTTAACCACATCATCTTCGTGTGATTATCATTATATTCTTTGGTAGAGAGCTTACTTTTTATATTCCATCTCTCTCTTATATTCAGTTTCTCTCTGTCACTCTTGACCAGTTTCATAGAATGTGAGTTGGAAGAAATCTACATGCTCCTTAACAAAAGGTTCCTAATCATTGGGATCAAAACGTAAGCAAAATACAGCTTTTACTATACAGCCATCTCATGAACACAATTAACAGTAAAGAAAGAAAAGTCAACCTCACTGTAATTGAGAAATCACTTACTGGCCAGTAGGAGGTGTCAAGAAGGTAGAAACCTTGCACACTTAGACATTTTCAGTTGACAAAACTGTCCAAGAGATAGCCATGGATAAGGACCCAATTCTTAGGCAAGGTAAGAACTCCACTTTGGAAGAACTTACAGGGAATTATGTTTTCATAATTAAATACAAAAATGAAAACAAACTAAAAAAGCATGCACTTTTCGGTTTTGTAGAACATTATAGTAGAGACTTCCAGGAGGTCAGTGGAGATTATTCAGCAGACACCCCCCCACACACACTGCAGCGTGAGGGTAGGTTCCGTTATTGAGGGCACCATGCTCAGCCAGGGCTGTGGGAAGTCCGGGCTAAGCATCCTAGATTCAGCCCCATGGGACATTTAGAATCTGAAGCAGAGACTAGTTAACACTTACCTGCAAAAAGCCACTAGGATCATTTTCCTTAATCACCTCCAAGCAGTACTCCATGAGACCTGTGGTCTGGCGCAATTTCACTGTGCAGTGAGAGATCTGATCTCGAACCACCTAGGATTGAAGAGGGACAGAACAGTCCAAAATGTCAGAAGGTGAAGAGGAGCAACCTGGGACTTTGGAAAGCTTCTTCAAACCAGAATCCAAGAGCATCCTGGAAGGGAATTAAATTGATGAGAATATTTTGTGGTAATGTCTGCTGAGGACAGTGACTCTGAGAGGCAGATTGGATGAGTCTCTCAAAGGAAATTGAGCAACAGGACCCATCAGAAGGGAAGGCAGATAGATGTCGAACCCTGTAGATCTGGTGACCTTGGTGTATCAAGGGACACCTTCCAAAGGTCCCCTTCACCCTACTCTTTTCTGGGAAGCTGACTCTATGGTAAGCTGCTTGTGGGGTCTGTAAAGAAGTTATAGCCCTCCAAGGTGTGGCTGCAGCTGTGCTTTGTGACACTGTTCATCTTCTCCTACCCTCTGCCTGACTCTTCTAAAGAGCAGACATAACCATCTGGACCCAGTTCCTTTCCTTTCCTGATCCTTCCCTGGCCTCCTGGCTCTGCGCCTAGTTCCTCAAGTGGGTGGTGGGGAGCTGGACGGCCAAGCTGGAGTTTGGGAGACACAATGAGTCAATGCGAAAGAAGATGAATGCAGAATTAAGTTTTAAGAATAACTCATTGCCTGAGCCCGCGGGTTCCAGACCCGCCTGGGCAGGCAAGACCTCATCTCTACAATAAATCAAAAAATTAGCTGGGTGTGGTAGCGCGTGCCTGTAATTCTGGTTACTTGGAAGGCTGAGGCGGAAGGATTGCCGGAGCCCAGCAGGTCGAGGCTGCGGTGGCCAGGAGCGGCCACTGCACTCCAGTCTGGGCAACAGAGTGAGACTCCAACTCAAAAAAAAAAAAGAATAACCCACTTAGAATCACGGCCTTGCCAAGTTGTGACCCTGCTTTAACCTAGATAGACAGCTCTCAGAGCATACAGTTTCTGCCTCTGGGAAGTTGTCTTTGCTTAGTGATGACTGCCATGACATTCCTTGAAAAGTTTCTTCCCTCAGAGATGTAGATCTTTTGTGTCCTCTGCTCAGTGACCCAAATCTTGAGTGCTTGTTCTTTTGTTTTTGTTTTTAGAGACAGGGTCTTGACATGTTGCCCAAGCTGGTCTTGAACTCATGGGCTCAAGCAATCCTCTCACCTCAGCCTCCTCAGTAGCTGGGATCACACTGTGCCCATCTTTGAGTGGTTTTTGAAGCATAGAATTAAAGAAGGATGTTCCAGGAATCTTAGTCTCTCACATTCTCAATGTTTATACTATGTTGCAAAAGCCTCGGACATATCCAGTGTTTTGGATCTTATCAAGAAAAATGAAAAGGGGTTTTAATAATAGTTATTTGTAAAAACTTTTCCTTGTTCCTTCTTTTCATTTTTCATTATAAATTTATTTTCCATTAAAGATTATTTCATTCACTTTCCAAACAATTGGGAAATAGATGGAAAAAAAGCAAATAATCTCATTATCTTAATGTAAATTTTAAAGTATTTTCATATTTCCTTAATTTTTTTTTCTGGAACCAGACTTACTTATAGCTACAATCACAGAATATGACAAATTTACTTCCCCCTCCCCACTTAGTACTATATTATGGGGCATTTTCTACTATCACAACCATCAATAAATGTTATCGGTACATAAATATACCATTGAGTGGGTAATCATAATGTATTTAATCATTCCTGTTTCCCTCTTAGTGGACAGTCAACGTCTATCTAATTTTTTGATAACGCATTCATTCATTATTTCTGTTGTTTTGTTCCTAATTTATTTATTGTGATAAAATCTACATAACAGAATTTTCCATTTTAACCATTTTTAAGTGCACTCTTTGGTGGCATTAATTGCACTCACATTGTTGTGCAACCATCACCACCATCCATCTCCAGAACATTTTCAGACTAAAACTCTGTATCCATAAAACAATAACTCCCCATTCCTCCTTCCTCCCAGCCCCTGGCAACACCATTCTTTCTGAGTCTATGAATTTGACTATGCTCGAAAAGCCTCATGTAAGTGGAATCATACAGTATTTGCCCTTTTGTGATTGGCTGATTTCACCTAGCATCATGTCTTCAAGACTAAGCCACATTTTGTTTATCCATTCATCCATCAATTGATGCTTGAGCTTCTTCCACCTCTTGCGGAATACAGCTGTTATACTCATGGGTAGACGAATACCTGTGTGAGTCTCTGCTTTCATTTCTTTGGGGTATATTCCCTTAAGTGGAACTGCTGGATCATATGGGAATTCTATATTTATTTGAGGATTTGCCATAATGCTTTCCACAGCAGCTGTACCATTTTACATCTCCGTAAGTAATGCACAAAGGTCCCAACCAAATTCTTCACATCCTCAACAAAACTTACTATTTTCCAAGGTGTAGGGGTGTGTGTGTGTGTGTGTGTGTGTGTGTGTGTGTGTGTGTGTGTGTGTGTGTTTAGATATAGCCATCCTGATAGGTGTTAAGTGGTATTTCCTTATGGTTTGATTTGCATTTTCCCAATGACCAGCGATGTTTAGCATCTATTCATGGGTTTATTGGCCATCTGTATATCTTTTTTGGAGATCAAGCCTTTGCCCATTTTTAAAATCCAGTTGTTGTTGTTGTTGAATTGTAGGTGTTCTTTATATATTCTGGATATTGATACCTTATCAAATATATAATTTGCAAATATTTCCTCCTGTTTCTGTGGGTTACTGTTTCACTCTTTTTTTTTTTTTTGAGTTGTAGTATCACTCCATCGCCCAGGCTGGAGTGCAGTGGCACACTTACAGCCACCCCATCGTTGACCTGCTGGGCTCTGGCTATCCTTCCACCTCAGCCTTCCAAGTAGCTACCACAGGCGCATGCTACCACACCCAGCTAATTTTTTGACTTATGGTAGTGATGAGGTCTCACCATGTTGCCCAGGCTGGTCTCGAATGCGTGGGCTAGGCAATCCTCTTGCCTCAGCCCTCCAAAGTGCTGGGATTACAGGCTTCAGCTACCGCACTTGGCCTTCACTCTTTTTCACTCCTTGTGTCCTTTGAGGCGCAAATATTTTAAATTGTTATGAAGTCCCACTTATTTATATTTTCTTTTGTTTCCTGTGCTTTTGGTGTCACATTCAAGAAAATATAGTCAAATCCAATGTCCCAAAGCCTTCCCCCTATGTTTTTTCTAAGTTTTTTTTTTAATAGTTTTAGGTTTTTACAGTTAGTTATTGAATCCGTTTTGAGCTAATTTTTGTATATGGTGTTAGGTACGTGTCTAACTTCATTTTTTGGCATGTCGACATTCAGTTTTCCCCACACTGTTGTTAAATAGACCGCCCTTTCCCATTGAATAGTCTTGGTACCCTTGTGGAAAATCATTTGACCATGTATGTAAAAATTTATTTCTGGGCTTTCTATTCTAGTCCAGTGGTTTATATATCTGTCTTTATGCCAGTACCCACTGTTTTGATTATTATAGCTCTGTAGTAAGTTGTGAAATCAGAAAGTATGAGAACTCCAACTTTACTCTTATTTTTCAAGATTGTGTTGCTATTCAGATCTCCCAATTTTCTGACAAGTGATTTGTTATTGTTTTTTAACCTTTAATAATAATTAAAAACAACAATAAAATATAGTCTTTAAAATCTCAATATTCTAATTGGTGAAAGGAACCAACATTGATATGAAGATCAATTTTGTGATTTTTTGGGAGGGAGGATCAAATTTAAAATTCACTGATTGATTAATTTTCTTCTGACATCCAGTAGCTTCTGACAACCACCATCTGTTGGCATGGGCTCAAGGGATGCAAATTATTTGATTTTTTTGTTCCTGAAATAACAGAAAGGTTGGGCTTCTACTTCTTTGAGAAAAAAAAAAAACAAGTAAGACATATAAAAATTCAAGACAGATGACATACAGCTAATATGCTATTCTTCTCTGCTGTATGAGGCTTAATTATATTGTTCCCAGAAGATGTTTTTATATTTGGTAGCCACTGTATTAATGTGGCTAGGTAGCAGAAATCTCAGTAGTCATCATTTCATTATCCAAATGGCATCTTCCCTTGAACTGCTGGGACTGAAAATCTGAATAAAAAGTGCAGATGGGATCTGAGCATAATAACCCAAAGTGAGTCTGCTTTTGAGACAAAATAGACTGAACTGTGTTTACTGCCCAGAGGATTCGGCTCGATGATACATAAATGTCCTAGCATAAATACATGACTCAGTCCTCATAAAACTCTGTGTTTGTTTCTATGAACTTCTCAAGCAAGGTTTCTTTTGTGGTGAAGGAGTTGTCTGGGTGCTGGGGCTCTCAGCTTACTCTTAAAAAGCTTAATTGTTGCACTGCCAAAGAGTTGGTGAGTTTCAGCAGGGGTTGGACATTGGCACCTGGGTTCTATGACTCAATCGTCTTGGAAGGACTCAATATTCCCTGAGTTCCTGGCTCTCAATCCCATTGTTGCAACAATTGATTTTGGTCCACCTTTTTACATGTTAATCAACCATTCCACCATGATCACAATAGTCTGTGATAAAAATCACTGCTAAAAATTAAATGTCAAGGTTCCTAAAGCAGCATTTTGGGTGTGTTATAATTGACATATAGTTTCTGAATTCATTTAGCAAGATTTTCTCCCTTATGGAAATCAGCCAGATAATTAGATCTTTTAAGATTATAAATATGTTTTCTCTATTTGAGCGTCCTTAGCAACTCTCTTATTTGCTACCTTCTTCAACCTGTGTTATTCACACCACAGAAGTGTTATTATTTATTTCTACATTGTGTTTTTTAATGAAAAACAATTCCTAAAAGCCAGGCCACTTCACTTCTGTCATTGAGTGCCACTATTCTGTGCTTCGGCTCTGCGGCACCAGAGAACCCCTTGGCATCATGTGTGCAGCAAGCTGGACTCAAGGGTTCCTTTTCTCGGGGACTGTGCAGGTCACAGAAGTGACCCAAATAGAGACTGGGAGAACAGCCTCCTGCTTTCATCTGCACTGAAGCCTAAACCAGCTCCCAT